AACCGTGAATTCCGGACCCTCTAGGGCCAGCGTTTGGAGTGCAGCCAGTGAATCTAGTAGGCATCCTCGAAGATCTGTTGACAGAAGGAATTTGGCGCCTCGATTTGTCGTAGTCGCTACCTGCCTGATATCCTTGTATAGGATGGTGACTTTCTCCACGTGGGTCAGGTCCGATGTAAGTACTGCTGAGGCGTCTATTATGGTATGCGATGTAGAGGTGGAATCACTATCAGCTGGAATAACTGAAGCACGAGACATGATATTCCGTGTAATACTGTGCGCACTATTTGGTGTGCTGAGGCTAAATCGCTAATAGTGGTGAGTTGAACTTGGGGTGATGATCTAAGATAAATTTAATGTTGCACTCTAAAATTGTCACTGTAAGGTAATAGTAGTGGCACGTAATATGAGCTCACTGTAGCTGCATTATTTACATTTAACAGAATGACCTTTTAGAAACGTGTGAACAGCCGTATGGTGAATACACTATGGTGAAGAGTCCGATAAATATTACAATTAATGCAATTACAATATAATATTTTAGCACATTATAATGCAAATAAGGATCTTAAGAGGGTTCCATATTATACTGCATTCAAATGAGAAAAACACAAGATCAAACAAAATAAATGTAATAATTAATACAAATTAATAAACAGAACCAGATAATAATTATCGAAAAACACACTAGAGGCACTTATAACCAATAAATGTTAGTTAAAAAGGTTGATTAAGCAATCAGAAATAACTAAAAGCTAAAAATTAATACAAAATTAAACAATTGTCAAACCGTAAGGACGGACCCTGTGCTGCTTTTTTGCAAGAAAATAAAACAGGGTATGTTGGCAAGAAAATTTACAATACAGTAGGCAGTAAATAATCAGAACATGGAATAACACTGATACATGAAAAACATTTAAGTAAATTAAACAAGCATTAAATTCTATGGAAAAAAAAAAAAAAACTTTTTAGATGGTTGTTCTAGGGCGTATGAGGTCAAAGTTATTGATTTTTACAAAAATAAGTAAAATTTACACTTGGTATTAAAATACCTTGAACATATAATGTTAACAGTGCATGTAATTAAAGATACCCAAATGCAAAAAATAATTTGAAATAAACATAAATGCAATAAACAGAAAGAAAAACTATTAGACAGTTAAAAACATCTTTAGAGCAGTTCGCTAAGGTAATTAAGGGCCAAGTTATTGAATTTTAACAAAATAAGCAAAATATTAACTGTTGTGAGAGACGCTAGAATGGTCGAAGAATATTCTAAGTCCTGATATCAAATGTTGAAAAAATTCAGTAACAGGCTATTGCGGTATATTAATGGAAGGAGAATAACAGTCCTACCTTAGTCTTCTTCAGATGGAGTAGCTATGTCGAGTAGATCGCGAGATTTTGAATTTTGAAAAAATAAGCACTTTTGGGCACTACAGTTACACTGAAAACTTAGGCCTACCCCGGTCGCCACGTGGTAGATCGTCGGCACGTTTTTCGTCGAGGTGACCGTTATGCTGGTAAGTACAAACACCGTTGAAGTGCGGCGGACGGATTCCTTTGTAATTTTCACAAAAACTTTTATAACTTCGCTAATTTTTGTCGCAAACACAAAATTTAGGTATCCACATGTAGGTTAACACTTCGCGCACAATTTGGAATAAAAATTTCTTCTGTGGGGTAGATATTTCTGCGGTTAATAATGCTTTTTAAGGGAGCTCAGCTGACACACATCCTACCTCGCAGGGGGCGTTATCGAGCAAAAAACCCACCTCCTAAACAGACTGATGAGAGAATTTAAAGAATTCATCTAGATATTTTTGGACAGGCAGATATCTTCTGTCGAGGCCCGGTGGCGCAATGCCTAGCGCATCGCGCAGCAGCACTACAGGTCCGGGGTTCGATCCCCAGGCTGGGCAAGGTCGACTCAGCCTTTCATTTTTTTTATTTCCATCCCTTCGGTCGGTAAAAAGTTCGTTTGGGTAGCAAGTTCCAAGTTCGCTTAGAGATATGCTTGGGGATGTTCAGGGCATATGCTTATGCACCCCGGGGCCCACGGTCAAGAAAGCAGATTTCGGGGCACTGCTGGCCTTGGCCCACTAGGGCTGTTGCGTCACTGAGTTTAGTTTAGATATCCTCTGTAGAATGTGAGCGAGGAAGTACTTTCAGGGATCATTATTTGTCGTGTCCCCCATACTTTTACCTTTACCTTTACCTATCGGTAACAGATATCCCGTTATTCCAATTATTCCATCGTACTGGCGGAATATTTCATAATTTTAGCTTCCTCCATATGAAAATGTATATAGAATCAGATATCTTCGTACCACCCCTTGAAGAAAACATAGGGCCGTTAACTCCATCTCTAATCTTATCTATACCAATACAGGCTTTTCTTTTATTGATCTGTCACTGGTCAAATCATTGGATTTCTAACTTAAAGACTTCTCATTGAGCCTTCTTTGTGTGATTTATAGCAATTTTAAAGTTTCAGAAGTTTCTGCAAGTTTTAAATTCAGCTGCTTAGTTGTCATGTTCCTGATGCGAAAAGGAATTACGGAGAAACACGGATCTTGCAACTAATTTTCTTTGACTTTATCACGGCTCTTAGCTACATAGAAGCATACAGTTATCTTGACAAATTCACCAGCGGCAGAGTGCATAAGACTGCTAAACGCTGATACTTCGATTTGAATTCAAATCCTGGCGAGCAGGATGGCTGCACAGTATTTTTGCAGTTTTCTCCGTGTATAACGCATGAAATACAAGCAAGGTCTACCCCATCTGTAGGAAATGTAATACTGATCATTTCACTCCTGAACATCTTCTCACTTATTTGAAAGTGAAAGAAGGGCCTATTGAAAAGACCTAATTTCGTTTTGGATTTATTAACGGTTCTTGGACTCATGGATCTGGTCTAGCCTAATGGCTACCAGTTAAGATAAGTAACAACAACGTATTTGAAATTTTATGGAATTTATGATTAATTCATAGTAGTGCTAAGATGCATGTATACTTTCTTAGACCTTATTAAAAGATTATGACTATGAGTTCATCTTTTCAAACTAAAATTAATTTGAAAGAAATAGGATTTTTCTATGAGGTTGGTTACCCACGGAAAAAGTTATTTAAAAATAAGAATTTCGTTGCTAAAAGTTTCAGTGATATTACTTCTTTCTTAATAATGGAGTTCTCTGAAAGCAGAATTATACGTGAAACATTATTGTAATTATTATAGAATTCCAGGTATCCGGACTAAATAGAACACGTGACACGTGCTACCTGGATTTTAATAGGTTGTCTTTCTTGTGCCGGCTAAATGTGGACTTAGTTTTAATGCAAGTGACTTACTTTAACGCATGATAATGAAACGAAAAAAATAGGCTATTAGAATTCTGAAAGCATTTGGATGAACTGTATTGGAATTTATGTCATTAATTAAAGAAAATAATTTTTGCGAATGTGAAAAACTTAACGGAGAAGCTTTATGGATTTTATTTTTGCAAAGCCATTTTCAAAACTGTGACTAAGCACTCAGCTATAATTAGCTCTCGAACGTTTGTTTATTTCTTTTTTTTCCAAACACAAGATTAGTGCTCGTTGATGAAAAATTACAATGCTCAATTAATTTGGCCGATATATATCAAACCGCATCGTCAAAATATGCTATGAAATTTTCAAAACTTAACATCTGAAATGGTACCTTTAAGAATCGAACAACGAATTTCATATTTTATTTCAATAGAACTTACGCAGTTAAAAACACAATGTAGTGAAACCTTACTGAGATGACTACTTTACTATTCCAGTGTCCGCCTTGAGCCCCTCCCCAAAAACTAGATGATTTTATTTTGTCTCTCCACACACGCCTTAAATGATACTCAAGAGCAATTCATAATCGAAGAAATACTATTCCCTTTCGTAAAGTATTTGTAAAGTAATTCGTAACGAAAAGTTTCATTATATTTTTAATTTTGCGAGTTAAAATACAAAACACACCGTTTTCGACAGAATTGAAATGAAATTAGAAGTTTTTATTTTGAACCCATTCTATTTAAATTAATATTTAGCATTCATTTTGATTTATGTAGGCCCAAAACGAAATGCATAATTTTTATTTTTATTGCATAAAAATTATTTATCTTTTGCATTGAATGAAACATATAATCTATGTCTATTTAATGAAAATTAAACTAATGTATTATTTTACGTCCCAAGGAGTAAACGAAGAGCCGAGGAGGAACCAAATTACCCAAGGAGTAAACGAAGAACCGTAAGCCTATATATAGTATAAAATTTCTTTTCCATTACTGCTTTGTTCCATACTTTGACATACAATGTTATTTGACGAACATTTTACAGCAATTTACAATTCAATGTATCTTAATGTAAAGCATTTTATAACTTTCTCAAAAGACATATATTACAGCTTTTCTATATTATTTAAATAAATGAAGAACACAAAAGTAAATAAATTAATACAGAACTTAATTTTGCTTGGACTAGAAACGAGAACAAAGATCCGCTTAGTCGGTGTTCAATAACTGGAATTTTACTCTATATGAACCCGAATATTATTTCTTCTATTCAAAATCATTAACTGGTATAACAAGGTACACATTTCCAAATATAATTGGTGTATGAAATTATTGCAATTCCCAGGACAATTAATTTGCAGAATGATGTAAATGATTCGGCTGCAGATTTGAAGAATACTTTCTCTTAAAAGATTTCATGAAGAATATTTTAAAACATCTGAACATTTGCAAATATTTTATAGTTCCAAGAACTGGAATGTGCTATTTAAGAAAGTTCAAATCCTAATATCTAGAATTTGTTAGAACGCACATTACAGAAACTTCGCTTATTCGGAAAAGAAAACATAAACGAACATCAGAAATCCCTTCCCGTTCTTCAACTGGCCTTGACCGACTCATTTCACGGTCACTTCCGTTCAATTCCATTCCTTCCAACTATGAATCAATTAAAACACTTACCTGGGTCAGGGGGCGCCAAAAGAGGGGGAGCCCCCACCTTCAGACTGGACTCTGGAACATCCTCTTCCTGCTTGGCCGGTGCACAGTGGATGATTAGCACGACAGTAGCCCACGCAAGCCGTATGTCCATCGAAGCTCAGGTGAACTTCGAGGTTTAAGTCCTCCTCGGCTCTCTGCGAAACTTCTCTCTAACCTCGAGGGCGGAAAAAGAAGCATCCTTGCAGTGGTTGCTATAGTCGCTGGCGGGACATCTCTTTAGTTATGTTTTGATTCTTCATCACATTTTGTCGCCAAAGTAAGTGATATATATCGCCAAACATGCTGATGAAGATACGCCGTTTGGGACATTTTAAATATGGGATAAAAAAACTGCACTCTTAATTTGCGATTGCCCACACACATACAGAGTAAAAATAAAAAGGAAGTTTTATAACGAAAAATTTTGTGAATTGTAAATTCGTTTTAAAATAATCTTTAACTGTCAGAAAGGAATAACTGAAAATTGCGGCTATGGAAAAATGTGCTAGAAGGACATGGTATCTTTCCATGAATTCAAAATATATCATCCGTTTAGGAAAATTATATGTTATTCATAAAGTTGTTTGCTATTCTCACGTAAAACTCTCCCCTAAAACGACAGTAATCATGCACTTCAGAACTCCGTTATGATAGGGCTCATCATTCCAGCAAATTACAAATTATAGAATATAGTACCTATCGATTTATAGAACTCGAACCAAATGTTAATAGTTTATATGTTTCTTTGATGTTTCAAGTAGGTATTTTAATCTAGTTTTTATTTTTCGTACATTAATTAAATTTTAATATTATTTCAGACTTTTGAAGGTATATTTCAGATTCGATTCCTTCTCATGAATTGCAGAAACGGAGGAAGTAACAAAGAACACTTGATTTAAGGAAATCGAAATAGTTCTAAGGTTTCCTCTTGGAGTAAATTCTATGATATTAATATTTAAGTACCTGTTTTTTTACTATTTTTTCAGGTTTATTTCTTTCGATCTAGCAGAGGGAATACTAAAAGCATGTACACAAATTTTAACTATTATCTTCTTTACTTTTTTGTTCGCCGTTGTTAATTACAGAAATGATTAAAAAAACTAACCACTGCTCAGATTTTCTTTTTATTTCAGAATTCTGCAGACTTCGATAAGCAGCTCAAGTCTGAGAAATATGAAAGTGTTAAATGCATCTCTTAGTAAGATTTTTATTTATTAATTAATTAAAAATAAGAAATAAACAGTGTCATAAAATGTAATAAACTAATCTTCATAAAAGAGGCAGAGCAGTCTTTGGCACATATTTCCAGAAATAGTAAAACGTAAACGAATTTTGATATCTATCTTTATTTGCTTTGCTTAAAGTAAAAAAAAAAAAAAAAAAAAAAAAAAAAAAAAAAATTAAAATTTATTTGCTTTACTTCAAAAACTGAAGTTAAAAATAGAGGAAATCGTATTAATTTCGTAATTATTTAAGATTATATTTTTCTTTTCACAGAAAATGTGTTTTTTAATCTCTTTAAATTATATTAATTTGTAACCTTCAAGTTTTATATAAAAATATACTTATTAGTGAATATAATATAAACAAAATTTAAACACTGTGTATTACAAAAGCTAAGAAAATGTATGTATTTTCATAAATATTATATGTCTACTTTACAATGTTTTTTCGAAAATGAACAGCCGCAATTCCAATAAAATCGCGCTTATCATTTCATTAGTATTTATAAATGTGCTTAAGACATTTGTCTGTATTGTAGAAATTTCTACTGAATCATTCGACAGTGTGAAAAGACTTCTTCTGAAAATATTCTTTCCCTTCTTTTTTACCATTTTCCAACGCAGACATTCTGATTTCGCCTGAATATATTATCTGCTTCGAGTTCTGTCACATTTCGTATACAACTACTTTAGAAAGAAATTTGAATAAAAACACTCAATGCTTTAAATTAGAACTGATTTTTTTTAAAATAATAAAATGCACTTCTCCAATTTCAGTCTCAAAATCAGTAGCGCTTACCAGACAGTGAATCAAGCGAAGGAAATATTAATTGAGTATAACAAATTACTTACCAAAAAGGAAAAGCAAAGAAGAGAGTTTTAAACATAGCAAAAGTTCACCTCTATATGCAGTGTAGTAGTTTTGTTAATTAGTATGATTATAACTTTCTAACTGAAAAGTTTTTCCTTCACTGCTATTATTTTTTTATTCAGAACAGAAGCACTTTTCTTCTTTAGGAGTATTTTTGTGCATCGATGAACATAGATTCCTCCAAACTGTTTAAGACTGATTCTTTATAGTAACAAATATTTTGGATATATACCGCCTTAATATGCGCGGTGCACCAGTCTTATCAATTCGTATATCCTTCTTTAACTCTTCTCATAAAAGTTGTATGTGATGACTGTCAAAGAAGTTTTTAACTTCGCGTTACATGCACGATAAAATTAAATGGTATGCAAATACGAGTATTTTTTTCGAAACAAAAACGGCAATAAAGTTTCTGGAATGTGATGGTAAATGATATTATGCCATAAAGCATAAATTGAAAATAAACAATTTTGTCATGATTGTAGATGAAGGCAGCTGAGGTATCATGAATTTTAGAAATCGAAGTGATGTTTGTCAAGAGCCGAAAAAAGCACTACTTTAGCTTCCACAGAACGCCACTGACAGCTGAGAATTTAAGACAAGTGAATCATGGTAGTTTGACCCAGGTTTAGATCCTGATGAATGAAACATAGTCGTTTATACGCTTTTCCATATATATAATGTATATACGAGTTATACTCTCTTAAGTCTTTCGCAAAGGCATTCTTCCAGTTAGATAAGTAACTTGAATGCTTTACCATAACTGAATTAACAAACAACCGTCCCCATAAAATATACAGTATATTACATAAATACAGTATATTACATATGTATAAAACTAAATTTTAGTCTACACAATCTCGAATTATTTAACAGAGCTCATGCTGACTTACATTATCTATGTAAAAAAAAAAACTTTAACCTGGCCTTTAAAATTAACTCATAATCTATCACTTCCTTGTGAATATTAAATGAAATGTTTTTTATAGATTTTGGTACTTTTGCAGATTTTGGAGATTTTTGTTGATTCTTGTAGATTTTTTGTGGATTTTTTGTAGGTATTGTTTGTAGATTTTTTTCGTAGACTACACTTATTTTGAGGTAGCTATAAAAAAGACTATATAATAAACAGAGGTTCAGAGATTTTAAGACAGGGAAGTGGTTGATGACTCTGACTACCGTACCGAAGGTCCCAGGTTCGAATCTCGAAGAAGGCATGGATGTGAATTGTTTGTCCCTTCATAGAAGGTAACAGTGGCGCTTACTATTAGGTGCCTCCGTCGTAATAAAATGACCACCACTTCTAGCCTTAGCAGCGGTCAAAGTATAAAACGGCTAGTGCCATTAAAAAAGAATGCACTTCAGGATCTCTGATTTTAATTTCAGAGATGCTTACAAAATTTTCTAAATGCGTAAAAATGGTTTCTTAAATACGTAAAAATGCTTTCATGATTTTCTAAATGCATAAAAAGTTATGAGAGTTTAAAGACAGTATGGATATTTTACGTATCATAATCTCTGCGCATGCTATCAGAATCTAAATAGCTTAAACAAATTTTTAATATTTTTCCTGTTAAAATTCTTTTAAAAATTTCGAGTTACTCATTACTTCACGGGCTTTAGTTCACGACTTCTGTACTTCACTCATAGCTGAATTAACAATTTAACTATTAATTAAGTATTAATTTTTGCATTCCAAACTATAGTTGACGATTAAAAAAACATGAATTTTATGATCGCCAAATTAAATAACCTTTGCGCATTGTCGCCAAATATGGCAGAATAAGATTAAAAACTTGCGATTCAGAGAACAGAAATAAAAAAGAACTCTCTGAACTGCAGCCGCTCGAGACGGAAAACTTGATGGGTCAGAGTTTCAATTGACCCCACCTACAAAGGCTGTCAACCTCGAAACAGACTTTTCAGATGGTGGATGAAGGAGAAACCTGACTTTCATGTTCGTTGCAGAGGCATCAGTAGGGGCATTTCAGTTTTTCTCAAGTAATGCTGATTACCTCACTTACCGAAGTTTAGTAGGTCATCTCCCTGGGTTATAAGATTCTTCCCATTTTTATTGACAGAAGTAGATTAGGCAGTTTTCAGCTTCCTAGAATAACTTTATTAGAGCTCGTGAAATTTTATATTTATTCACAGATAACTAAAATAATAATTATGAAACATTTTACAACCAATCCCCGACATAAACGAACTTCAAGAGCCTGAAGGTTCGATACATACAACTTTAGAAAATGCATATGTGTGTGTATAATATAAATTAATAAAATAAATAACTACTCATAAGGACATAATTTTTTTAAATTGAATTTAGATCATTCTTTAAAAAGATAAGAGTATGCAGATGTAAACAAAATAAAATTAATATAAGTTTGTGAAAGTAAGCTTTAGTTTAAAGCAGTGATCTTCAAACTGTGTTCTGCGGAACCCACTTGTCAAACCACGGGGTTCCAGTCAAAATAAAAATTCGAAGAAAAAAATTAGATAGTACTCATACTAATGGATTAGTATTTATAAATAAATATATATTTAATTATCTTTCAAAATTAATCAGAAGCTTTGTGTGTGGGCTGCTGACGTTCTAAATGAAGTAAGCACTTTAAGGACTGGATGTACATATTATAAGAATTAAAGGAAAAAATAATGCATTCATTTTAAAGCTTAACATGTGAAAGAAGATGAGGTGCAATGCTTTACAAAACTAAACAGTGTTCTATTCAAAAATGAATTGAATTTAGACGACAGCGTTAAAAATTATATATTGGAGAACCATTTTCAATTGAGGAAAACCATAACAGAATATTTCCCGGAAAACAAACTAAGTATGACTGGGTAAAAAAAATCCTTTCGAGTACTACGATAAATCTTGATAATGGTTTGGTTTATATGATTACGGCAAAGCCTCGAGAGCTATCTTCCTTAGGGGAGCGATGCCTTCATGGAGGACTTTCTAAGGGAAACTGACTCGTATACATAGAGAATCTTTCCAATGAAGGAAAGGGAACAACTTATTGACATATAAAACAGATTCGGCGTTAAAATCTAAATTTAAGCAAGAGCAGCTCCTA